ACATACAGGAGAAATAGCGATTTTTTTCATTGTTTCTCGAAACATCATAGCATTTAGACACTGGCGATGACATGACTGTGGCGCCAAATAATTTATGTCCCCACGCATCATGTACGTCGTCACGCGTTGACGTCATCAAATTGCGATCAGTTCGTGAGATCGGCCAAGTGTAGCGAGTATCGATCGAGTCATAAAATGTGATTATCGGCCGATACCGATCTCCGGCCGATCGATCGGAGCATCCCTAAGCATTAAAAAATCATTAAAAAACATTATATAATGAAAGTTATTATAAAGTGTTACCTTAATTGGCGTTTAGAAGATAAACCAAGGTCTAATGGGTTTGGAACAACATGACAGTGAGTATATGACACAATTTGGGTGAACTATCCTTTCAATTGTTATATCAACAAGAGCAAACAAGAGGTTTGGCAGTAAGAAAGAGACTCACGGCAGCAGGAGGGTTTGAGAGAGAGTGCTGTGGAGAGGACCGTGCCACTGGAGGAATGCCCCGCGCTGGACTGGTACCACTACCCCCTGCAAACTGCGCACAAACAAATTATTAAAATTTTAGAAGTTAAATCAGAGAAAATGAGCATGAAAACAAAACTTAAACCATAATGGGGATCAAATGGTTAGTAATAACCGAATGAATGAACTACATGCGCCTACCTCAAAATAATCACTAATTTTGTGTCCTCTCCCTCCTCCTTTGCCTAGGGGGAAAAAGAAAAAAAATCAGAGCCATAGTCATTATAAGAAACAACACTCTAAAAGATGTAACATCCACTTGCTATGAGAATCAGTGCATTCAGCATCAATCACATCAACAGCATTACTCAAACTCACCCTGGTTGTCAAAAGGGTCTCCTTTCCTTTTACGTGTTCTCTGGTCATTAGATTTCTTCTCTGGGGTCTGAGTATGAAGAGAGAGGGAGGGATAGAAAGAGAAAGTGAGACAGAATTTGTAAGCTGCCAGGCGAATGCAAGAATCCATGACATCACCTCATTCCACAACCCCATTCATTCCAGAAGTTTCCATTGAAATGTGAGAGGCTACAAGCTCATACAACCTGAAAGACTGGACATCAACATCCAAATACAGCAGAGACACGACAATCTCTGCATGTCTGCCTGTTTTTAAATAAGCTGCATCTGTTTGCAATGTCTAGTAATGCTTTTTCTAAACAACATGGTTTAGTGTTCTTCATATTCTTTTTAATTTCATTCGGTCTAAAAATTAAAAGGACTTTTCATAACTGTCATTTACACCAAGGATGACATCTACACGGTTTTAATAATCTAATTCTAATTCTATGAGAATAGGTAAGTCCACATCACAGCTATAATGATATAAGACGCAGAAAAATAACATTGGAGGAATAATTTTTAGGACTTCCAGCTGACAGCCAATCAGAATTCATCTAACTAAAAGAGCTTGAGGATTTAAAGCGACAGACAACACAACTGCAGCATGCGCTAATAATAACCAGAGCATTATTGTCTGCTTGTGAGGACATTATTGTTATTGTTCTGTAGATATATTTATAATTATTTTTCTTGGCGTAAAGAAGCCTTTAGTCTTGCTTACTGATGTTACATGTTACAACTCTAATGTGGACAACGATAATCAGTTCTTTGCTTCGTGTTAAAAATACAGTCATTCATAAATGAGAAAAATGTAAATGCTGTGGTTCTTTCTGTTTGACCATCGTGATTAGAGGTTGACTGATGAATCGGTTTTGCTGATTTAATCGGCACCGATAGTTGATTGCTGGAACTATCGGGAAAAATCCATACAGATAGTTTTCCGGGTTGTGTCCGTTGCTGGAGTGGCTGAGAAGGCTCCGCTGTCATTATACAGTACGAGAGTGGCCTCTAGAGGCAAAACTTTTAGTGGAAAAAGAACAGCAGTATGTTTGCTGTCTATGCTGAGAGGACGCGAACATTAGCAGCACCTCAAATGGTTAAAACCATAGATATGTCTAGGTGAATGCCTCATTCGACAGCTCCATCTTGCAACGGTCAACTTGACGTCATTTACCATAATAATCAATGAATATTCGAAGATGTCACAATCCTGCACAGCCGATGGTTGGAAAACCTGCCGGGATTTAAATTCCTGAAAAAACGTGATAACCTTTCACAGGTGAGAATGCGAGAGAGGGGCGGAACCATAGATATGTAAGGATTGTGGCATCTTCAAATATTCATTGATTATTATGGTAAATGACATCAAGTTGACCCTTCCAATATGGCGGACGGCTTACGTATAGCGGCCCATAGAAACAATCGCTAATGAGGCATCTACGTATTCACATCTATGGTTAAAACAATGTGGCCAAAACACACGCAAGTCTGACCCAAATGCTTAAAGTCACGATTGTTACCATCTATTTGCATTAGTTTATATACAGCTGGTCACATTAATGCATTTGTTAGCTAGCAAAGTTACAGATTTAAAGCTGTGACTTGAGAAAGCACAAAAGTAAAGGATTACAGATGTGCGTTTCACTGATTAACAAAATCCAGATGCCAAATATTAAAGAAAGGAGCAACTAAATCCAGAAGTCGAAAAACAAAAGAAAAAGTCTTTCCAACCAGATGCCCTGGGCGATATCATTGGGTGAAATAAAACATGGCGCCAACTACAACATTTGAACACCGAGCTGGACCTCCCTGACTGTCAACATGAAACACATCAGTTGACAATTGCATCACCCGCTCCAGACAAAAACAGAGATACTTTAGTGACTGAACAACTGTTTGAGCTTCAGATGTGTACTAACCTCCAGCTCTTTGTCACTGAGAGAGCCCACGCTACATAAGCTCTGGTTAGACGACTCGTTGTGTCCAGAACCCTGCAGAGAGGAAGACAACAGAGAACAGGATTTGCATTTCCTAAAGGAAAGATCAGTGCTAGTAAGGCAGGAAAAACAGCAGCAAAATGTTCAAGTCTTCAGTTCTGTGAAAATAAAAATAAAACACATAAAAGCCATTTTGTCATTATTACAGTTTTTGGTGATTGTGTATGAAGCAGTAAATAGATAAATAATATGTAATAAATAAATGCAATACAAACTATTCACCTGTGCATGTCATTCCAAAAAATTTTTTTTAATTATTTAGCACGTTTCGATATCCAATTAATTCTGTTTACTTTGGAGATCACCTTGAAAATGACCTTTTCATTATTTAATTTTAGCCATTACTTTTAGCTAATGGATTTTCACCTACAATCAGCACAAAAGAAGTGCACAGATTGTGACTTTCCCCTGATCAATGTGAGTGCCTTAAACTTGATGTCTGTCTCTTTTCCCCATTTCAAACACTAATTCCTTCCTAATTCTGCCTCTAATTCTCTCTCCTCTTTGTACGTTGACCTACAGGTAAATTAATTATCTAAAACTGAAAAAAAAGTTTCATCGTTTGGGTGAAGAAATTAACAAAAACAAATACCCACAAAATTAGCACTAGTTCTGTGAGAAAAGGTTGCATATGTGCACAGAGTGGTTTTTGAATCATTATCTCTATGCATGTTTAAAATGCATGTTATTAATGAGAGAGAGAGAGAGAGAGAGAGAGAGAGAGAGAGAGAGAGAGAGAGAGAGAGAGTGGTCATTCTGGTCAGTTCAGGCTAAAACCCTCCACAATCCAATAACACAACGATAAACACCACCCGTGCTGTGCACCTACTGACGGTTCTTTCAATCAGTTCAGTTGTTGAAATTTCTGACTAAACCAAACAGATGCAGAGTAAAAGGTCTTTCTAAAAACCTCCAGCGTTGCCCAGTCAGTGAAGTGGACTCTCGTGACCATGGCAGTGGCCAAACAACATCTTCTACCACTGAAAAACTGACAAATCATTGTCCTTGCGCTCAGAACTGATCCAAAACTTTTCCTCAAAGACACATATTGCAAATGCTGACAGATATTCAAGGTCTTTCTGGGGTTCTCCAACACTTAAATGAAATGAACATTTAAAAATCATTTTGTGCTTGCACACAACAGATGCACCGAAATTTTGGCAACCAAAAATATTCGGTCATAAAAATTATAAAAAAAGAATTTTTGGTTTCAGCTAAAGTAGTTTTCAAGAGTTTTCAAAATTTGAATCATCATCGAATCATTTGTTTTAGGGCTGGGTAAAAAATATCGATATCTCGATATTAATCGATTCTCATTTTTACGGAACGATATCTATTCTTAAATCCCAGGAATCGATTAGTCTAACGTTCGCCTGTTTTCAGTTAATGGATGGAACACTGAAGGGCACTTTCCATCCAAAATATCGCAATAAGCATTGTGCTTTGATACTTTTAATATGAAACAAGTGAAATAGAAATATTATTATGTAATTGTAGCTTTATTATTTTAAAAACTTCATTAAGTGTAATTTTAACAAATCAGTCAATTTTAACCTTCAATATTATAGTAATGTAGCACCAACTGACTCTCATGTATATTTTACAGCATTAGTTGAGAGATTTTTTTTCCTTGAGAAAATTTGGCATGTACTGTACCTGATATATATCCAAAATAATTGATATTGAATCGAATCGAATTGGTAATCGAATCGAAAGCTTGTGAATGAGAATCGAATCGAATCGTGAAATTTGTGTCAAAACCCAGCCCTAATTTGTTTACATCTGCATTTATGTATTTTGAACAAAACTTCAGAGCAAGTGCCCCAGTCACCACGTTCAGAACTGGAGAAAGCCATCTCTATAACGTCACCAGAGCTACTGTGATTATAATTATCATTTTTCGCCTTGCCTAAAAGGAAAGCTGACAAATACGTCAGAAAAGGTTTTTTTTGTGTGCAAATATTCAGTCTCCTGCACTGACCAGTTCATAAGACGTAAATAAACACATGCATATTTGTATAGTAAGAAGGTAAAAGTAGTACATAATCAAAGATTATTTCAGGTCCACCCCTTTCAATCCGATAGAGACTTCATTCGGACCAAATTCAAATCACATTGATTGAGGTGTTTACATTAAGGCTTTTCAATCTGACTTAGCCATCAATCCCAGTACTAACAGATTGTTTGGGTGCATGGGAATGTAACTAATGACGTTTATTACCTTTTCTACAATTACAGGTTTTGACTGAGTCAGTGTCTATTTTGTCAGCACAATGTGGACAAGCTACAACAGGTAAACATGTTAGCTGTGTGGATGGACTTTACAGTGACCCAAAATGAAGTTAGAGTAGCAATAAGAACTTTTTTTGGCTGAAAAATATCAATAGGAGGCTTGTTGCCAAAGAACTTTTGGAGTGTGTTTTTTTGTAGTGATTAATTTAATCGGCTGAGAAAATGACACCCAATGAAATTACCCAGTAACCCAAATTTAATTGTCGAAACTTTATTTTCAATTTCATTTTTTTTATTAATGATAAATGATCAATTTAATACTGTTTGCAGTCTTTCCATGAAAAATTAATTTTGGTGCATCGTTGTATGGGACGCTACCTTAACCCGACAGTTAAATATCTTTTTTTTTTTTGTCCAAAAAGCTGTCTTTCTTAGACTAATTGTAATGACAAGCATGAGCTTTTTGTGGAAAATTACAGAAACAACAGCTTGATTCAGACAACTGGGCAAATGCAAGAGTAAAATTTAACTTATCATATAACTTAATGCGTGAAAGCAGGCAGGCCCAAGGCCTAGACAAACACACGAATGAGTGAAGATGTACCGATGGATGAGGTCTACTATGCGGGGGAAAAGGTATGTGCAGGAATTACTGATTATCATGAACAAATAGAAATGGGGGCAGAAATATATCAGTTTGTGACCAGGCAGACCTTGGCAACTCCGACTCCTGTGAAACGGGCCTCCAGCAGTTCCTGCCTGCGAGGATCCAAGCTGTGCAATTCCTCCATCATGGCTGTGAGAGAGAGGAAGAGAGAGTGCATGACATTATGTAGCCATAGTGATGCTGACAGACTGATGGGACAGTAATGTGTGTGACATGTTGAGTCATGTGTCCTCAATACATGTTTTCCAGGGCATTCTGAGATTCATGACTCAGCCTCCCTACCACCACTACTCCGTCATTAACTCACTCTCACCTAAAGCCATATCCTGTAGATAACTTGCAAAAAAAACCCCATGATCATGCAAGATCTTCATGTCAATTCATGTCAAACCACATGCAACACGTGGCCTGCAGTGCATTTAACAAAGAAACATTGATTTTTAATCAATCAGACTTGTTTTCGACCAGGAAACAAATGTAGTCAGCGCAAAATCATACACTATAATTAATATGATCGGAGAAGGTGGCTGACGAGAAAGAAAAAAACAAATGCACAATGAAACCTGAACAACTCTATATAACGTTACTTCTTAACGAACCAACCAACCAACCAAACTACACAACATTAGAGCAACCACCGATCTGTATTTTAGTTAAATCACATCCGTTAAACGTCCAACTGATTTAAACACCTAATTCAGTGGAATTTGTAACCACTTGTTCCAGCATATTGTATATTATTTCAAGATTACATGATGAATTGGCATGGTTAATAAGTTATCATACTGGCTCCATCATTAGATGTGTACGATTGAATTAAATAACGGATAACTTACAGAAAATAGGGAAAAAATAAGGTTTTAAAGGACGAAGAGGTTCGCAAAAGATCAAAACAAAAGAAACTGCATCTAAATACCGTCTCAGTATCCCTTTACCCCTGGGTTTTGCTTCTATTGTCTGCTGTTTCTTCAATGCCATGCAAATTCTTCTGCTAGCCTCCCTAAACCACCACATTTGTCTTTGTACCTGTATTATCGGGGTCTTTTCACCCTCTTGCCGTTTTATTTGATCTCTTTTCTTCGACCGTTCTCCCGTCTCGCCCTTCCCGTCTCAGCCCGACATCTCAGCGCTAGGCCTTAGCCGAATCCCCGACCCTAGCCGGCGCTCGGTGTCTACTGTGTCGCTAGGGGACGCCAGCTCCGCGTCCTACCGTAGTCCGAGGACTGCGAGACCTCCGAGGCCTTGATCTCCGAACCCGCCTTTCTCCACTGGCCTTCTGCGATTTCTATTTTCTACCAGATCTTAGGCATGTGATACCTCGCTGCAGATCCACACCTAACGATTTTCCATCCAAAATGACGCGATTCGCTTCGAAGTTAGTTAATCGTTGTCTTGTTTTGAGATATTTTGTTTCTCTTGTTTTTCTTCGCAGCTCTGGGTTAGCACCGAACCGGGATCAAGTCTTGGAATGAAAAATCGGCTCTTTAAATTCCAAATTTAAGTTCCACCCGAACATCTCCTTTTACAAAGATTAGGTGATGTAGATGAAATAATACTTTTCCCAATCAGATTAGTGAAATTAGAATCGGTTCGGTTCTAATTTTTTGCAATGTAAACAATAATCGGTAAATCTCATATTTTCTCGTGAGATTGTGCAAGACATTTCTACCTTTCAACCACGCCTATTTACATTAGCAAACACTTAATGAAAGAAAAAAATCAATAAAAATTTTTTCTGTGCTTTTATTATAGGGTTTTAAGCAGTGCACTTGCAGCTTTATAACAAAAAAATATTGCCAACTATACTGTGAAGTTTTTTGCCCAGCTTTTTCAGTCAGAAATTATGAAATAAGGCTTATAAAACCTGAAGTGGAAAAAGGTGTAAAGTTAAAGCTCATTGGACAGTGACTCAAATTGTCCTGTATTATTGTGATCATTTAGAAGAAAGGACACATCAATGATTATTATAATGATTCATTACTATTGATATCACATCTCAAAGCATGTGCAAAATGTAAAATGTAAATAAAAGTACAATGAGAATTTATTTACTACAATCAAGTGTCAGTCACTTTTAATAAAATAGTCTGATGAATGAAAAAATGTGGAAGTTCACATTTGATTAAACCATTTACATGTATCCAGTTTGCAATTATCCCTGATATTTCCAGCTTTTCCATATACATGGAAATCCAGTTTCATTTATTGACCGCAAAACAAACCATAATAATTAATTAAAGAGCCAATGAAATGAAAAATTTGAGTTTTGTGGCTTTTAGCCATATATTAGCTTTGTAACTGGTAAATGAGAAAATAGAGAAAAAAACAAGAAGCTGAAATTCAGAGAGAGGCTTTGATTTAATACATCATGTAGTTTATTCATAAGATTAAAAAATGTCCTTAAAAACATGTGATAAACAGAAAGTTTAAAGTCCTCAGGTGCATCATGGGAACTCAACATGTCCTCCATCAACATTCCCAAGTAGGCTGCATAAGATTGAGACTCATACCAGTCAGCGCGTTCAGCATGTTCAATCACATGTGTCAGCACCGCAATCCTCCCTGTTGTTGCAACCTGTCCATCATCTTTAAAACAACCATATCACAATATTCGCATGGTTCAGCCCAGATGTTCTCGATCTCTCCAAATAAGCGGTCTTGATTCTAAGGGGGCACCAGGACCTTGCGATACTTGCACTGTACCCAGACTCTGTACATTGTCAACTGTTTTCCTCTGTTCACCTGTAAGCGTCGGTCCACTAAGTTCTGCACCTTCTCCAGGCCGGCACTGGAGAACAGATCATGCAGCTCATCTACAGGAAAATTACAAAAGTCAGACAAATATCCCTGCAAATGTGTGACATCCAATGATTATTGTGTTCATATTTTAGAATTACTTTTTCATGACATATTGTGAAAGCAAAGTGTATTCATCAAACAGAGGTTATCTTATTAGACTGTACAAGTGTACAATGCAAGTCTGAACATGCATTTACCTTGTGTGAAAAAGTAGACACGTGTTCCATCCCCTCTAACATAGAAATTTTCAGACAAGCACCTCCCTGATAAAGAAAAGAACAAGCAATAAGGTTTTTGTTGTATTTAAGATTATTGCCATATCAGCTTAATTTCATGGCAGATACAGATTAAACATTCAATAAACACAAACAATCCAATAACTAATACATTTACATTTAATAAAAAAATATATATGATTGAACCAATTTACACATACCTAACTCTATTAGAGATTTTTTTTTAATTACACTTGTGATAAAAATTGTAAAAGTTTCTCTGGGTTCATCTTACAAATGAACTCCTCCAAAGTTTGGCCTGATAAAAATCATGGTCTTATGAGATTATAAGTGCAATATCGACATTTTGGCCTGCATTTTCAAGTGTTTTGAACACGATGCAAGACAGCCGACTGCAATCCAGACATGACCTACAGATTTTCTTTTGAAAAGTTATCTTGAAAGGCATAGACTTTTCACATGGACGTATCATCTACCTTTTTTGAAACGAAGCTGTGCCATGTCATAGCGGCCATAGTCTCTCAATAACAACACTCCTCCAGGTTTCAGCAATCGTGCTAACCTATTAATAGAGTTCTGCATCCTGAAAGAGACAGATTAAGAAGTTAATGCATCGTTATGGTCGACATCAAGAGGGCAGACAATAATATGCAAGGGATGATGCAGACAGATTACTCCGTTATGTTTATTTTGTGATCATGTACTGTACATTACCCTACTTATTACATGGTTACATTTTGAATAAATAGACATGAAATAGTTGCTTGAGTTAAACATTTTCAAGAGGGATGCGAGAGACATGAAATTATCACAGCAGTGTAAGAAAGTCCATTCAAACTAGCAACGATAAATATAACAATAAAGTATTAAAAATAAAATGCCATGATGGACCAATCAAAATTACATAATGCCCACCACCAGTTTCAATCACTTTAAAGCAGTGGCTTTCATCCTTTTTGACTCCAAGGCTTCCTTTTGTCCAGGACAATATTTAAACGCCTTCCTATCTAAGCTGAAATGTACTTCTGGTGTTTCTGTTGTAATAAAAATAAATACATTCAAACATATGTCAGTTTAGTGTTTTTTTTTTTTTTTACCATTTTAATTAAGATTATGTTAATATAACTACATTTAAATCATTTTAAGACTTATTAGGCCCCCCTGGAAAGTCCTCCTTGTTGAGGACCACTGTTTTAAAGGTTACATGCTTGATGAAAACAGTGCGAGGCATTGTTCATTTCATTGCTCACTCACGGTGTCATTTACACTCACTTCTGAGGATGCAGGGCGGACAGCACGAATATGAGGACAATGACGTCCAGACTGTGGTCTGGTATTGGATACTCTGCAGACGCATCACTCATATCATGGACGAACGCATGACAACACGACGGGTCATATTCAGGATTTGACTGCCAAAAAATTAATCGAAACATGCATAAAGATCATCTATAAACGCAGAATGCAGATTTTTTAAATAAATAAAAAAAATAGATGAATGAAGCTTCCTGAAGCTTACTTTGACAAGGTCAACAGCCGTGCTGGAGAAATCACAACAGTAAACAAAGAGTCCTGGATCACTGTAATGCAAAAAGAAAAGTTATTTAATCTGTGTGGGTGACAAACACTGAGGACAGGTCTGGTTGGTTTATATCTGGACTTACTTGTTGGTTTTTAAGATGGGAAAGACTGTATTGCCTACTCCACAGCCTACCTAAAGACACCCAAACATACACAGGAGAAAATGAGGCTGGGGCTCGCTACTGACAAGGCTTTCATTTTCATCAAGGCTTTTCATCACAGAATAGTTTATAGTAAAATTTAAAACCATCATCCTTACGCACTCTCATTCCATGTAATGAAAGTGAATGGTGAGTACAACTGCCACTAGTCCCCATTCATTTTCATTGTATTAAAAAAAGCATGGACGTTCTTCAAAATATCTCCTTTTGTGGTCCATGCCAGAATGAAAATGAGTAATTAATTGGGCCGGGTTTTTTGGGTGAACAAACCCTTTAAATGTATCTACCACGTAAAAAAAATAAAATCACCTCCAGGATGCGATAGGATGCAGAGGCTCCAGGAAATTCGGTGTCATTGTGAGTCGAGGGAACATCTTCAACATTTAACAGATTCGCCTCAGCGTCTTGTGGAGGCTTTTGTTGAGGGGCCAGCTCAGGAAACTCTGTAAACAGCCAGTGGCGATCCTTGAAGAAGCCATTCTCATGAATGGTGTAGAAATCGTTCCAGTACTTATTGGCCCGGTTGTCAAACTCCTCTGAAGGAGATACAAACAAAGAGCACATTTAGTAAAAAAAAACCAACAACACCTGGATGATTTTAAACAGCATTTTTGGAAACTGAAATAAAGATTAAAATTGAATAAAAATGGAAATATTAGAATTTAAAAATTCTAAATTAAAAATGTTGGCATTGCAAATAACTGAAATAAGTTAAACAAAAATAAATTAAAGCTAAACCGAGAACATACCAAAAGCACATAAAATTAAAATTGAAAAGTGAAAGTATAAACATAAAAGCTCATTTAAAATATTTATAGTACATTAATAATACTAAAATAACATACAGAGTTCCATCATGAACAAATGTCTATTTATAGCTTAATTTAATTGTGTTTAAACATCTTTACATTTTTTAAATACATTTTTATTATAAAGCTAACATAGACAGGTGATGGATGAACCTTGTTTTTCTGCTGGGAGAATGGGAAAGACTGTATTGCCTACTCCACAGCCTACCTAAAGACACCCAAACATACACAGGAGAAAATGAGGCTGGGGCTCGCTACTGACAAGGCTTTCATTTTCATCAAGGCTTTTCATCACAGAATAGTTTATAGTAAAATTTAAAACCATCATCCTTACGCACTCTCATTCCATGTAATGAAAGTGAATGGTGAGTACAACTGCCACTAGTCCCCATTCATTTTCATTGTATTAAAAAAAGCATGGACGTTCTTCAAAATATCTCCTTTTGTGGTCCATGCCAGAATGAAAATGAGTAATTAATTGGGCCGGGTTTTTTGGGTGAACAAACCCTTTAAATGTATCTACCACGTAAAAAAAATAAAATCACCTCCAGGATGCGATAGGATGCAGAGGCTCCAGGAAATTCGGTGTCATTGTGAGTCGAGGGAACATCTTCAACATTTAACAGATTCGCCTCAGCGTCTTGTGGAGGCTTTTGTTGAGGGGCCAGCTCAGGAAACTCTGTAAACAGCCAGTGGCGATCCTTGAAGAAGCCATTCTCATGAATGGTGTAGAAATCGTTCCAGTACTTATTGGCCCGGTTGTCAAACTCCTCTGAAGGAGATACAAACAAAGAGCACATTTAGTAAAAAAAAACCAACAACACCTGGATGATTTTAAACAGCATTTTTGGAAACTGAAATAAAGATTAAAATTGAATAAAAATGGAAATATTAGAATTTAAAAATTCTAAATTAAAAATGTTGGCATTGCAAATAACTGAAATAAGTTAAACAAAAATAAATTAAAGCTAAACCGAGAACATACCAAAAGCACATAAAATTAAAATTGAAAAGTGAAAGTATAAACATAAAAGCTCATTTAAAATATTTATAGTACATTAATAATACTAAAATAACATACAGAGTTCCATCATGAACAAATGTCTATTTATAGCTTAATTTAATTGTGTTTAAACATCTTTACATTTTTTAAATACATTTTTATTATAAAGCTAACATAGACAGGTGATGGATGAACCTTGTTTTTCTGCTGGGAGAGGTTGACTGTTTTCCTGCACCTTTTTCTGGGCGGCCTGCTCCTGTTCAGCTGACCACTCCACATTATCCCTACAGGAGGTGAAATACCATCACAGTGAGCGACATAGGAAACAAAACAGGTCTATTAGAAGGATGCACAAATATAATTGAACAAAACTACAGCAGCACACAGTCCTGTTACGCATCACATACAGAAGCTACAGCTAATCAATGCTTTATGTAATTCTATATAGTCTGTACTCTGATAATGCAAGTACTTTAATTAAATCACTCCATAATACATAATATTAAAAGCTACAAGATTTTTAGGGTTTTAGTTTTGTGATTTAAATAATAATAATAATAATAATTAATTGATAGACATTCTATATAAAAATTTGAAATAAAACTAATAGCAAATTAGATGTTTAATTGAGCAGAACTAGAAGAATACATATTCCCTTAACTTGTCAAGATTTTTCAATTATTATTATATAATTATCAATTATAAGATACCCTGATATTTTCAGGTTGGTACCCTGCGGTTATTTCTCTACTACACAAACATGTCCTCCTCTAGTGTTAGGAGAAAGACAAACCTAACAGCTACTTAGTGAATTTAGCTTGGAAACACCTAATAAGGTTTTTTTTTAAAAACTGATAATCCTATCGAAATGTCCAGAGTGAGTGCCAAACTGACAGCATGGCCAGACAGTGTCAGTGTTTGCAGTCTGAAGTGTGTGAATGAGACAGACATCCAGCCTAACATACCACGCGTTGTGCTGAAACACCTGTCGCGGGTCTGTGAGGAAGCGAGTGCCGAACTGCGGTCGTTTCTGGGCCTCAGCGGAATTCTCCGTGGGTCCATTCGCAGTTGCTGGCATGTTTTCTGCGGAGGAAGGTCCAGCAGCAACAGCAGGAGCCGCCATGCTCATGTGAACCGGACGCACATGGTCGTTCAGTGTCAGTGTCTCCGCCCAGTTCAGCAGCTCGCCCAAAGAAACATCGCCACCTATCGACCATTCTGACATCATTTGCACAGACATCTTCGTCTGCTTCGTCTTCTTCTTCTTGTTTTATGGCGGGTGGCATCAGACCTGTGGGATGTTTTCCAATGAGATAATGTAATGTCTTATTTAGTCTTGTGTGACCCATTCTTAACCTTGATATTATATTTTCCTCCTTGGTACTTCGCCCTGTCATCCTCATCCTTCCCACTTCTTTCTACAATTAAATTCTGAAAACTATGAGTTCTTCTTAATACTCTAATACTAGAGCTTTATAAAATAAAATAAAATTTTCATAGCCTAATATTGCATAACTTATCAAACTCATAAAACTTAAAAAGACAGGATCATATAAGAACTAATATATCATTTTTCCTTTTATCACAATACCACCGTTATGTTGACTTATGGGGTAAACTTACCTTATTATTTTTGCCATTTTGGTTTTAGTGGTGCTGTTTAGCAACAACCAGCTTCTAGCAATTTATTAATATGTTGTTTTTTTTCTTACTCTAATCAAAATTTTTCAAACCAAACTGTAATATCTGGTATTCATTTCATTTCACAGCCTGTTGCAATATCCTTTAGTCATCATCCTCCAGAAATTGACTTTTTTTAAATTATTATTATTGGAAAACAACAGCAGAAATATGATTAGTAATAGAGTTGATTAATTCTGTGATGTTTACCTTTCAAAATATACCTGTTGGGTAGCTATATTTGTTTCAATTGTGTAAATAATAAAACTATAATTTAGAAAGCTTATAAGTGTCTGAGCTTGACCAGAACGTATTTATGAAAGTTTGGTAGGCCTATACACTTTTATAGAATACATTTGTTAAGTTAGCAATAATGTACATCCAGCCGGTTGTTATCGCAGAATAACCCCCTTCAGTGTGACACAAGACCCCTCCGCTTTGCGTCGATGTACATTATCGCGACTGACCAATCAGAATCAAGTATTCCACAGAGCCGTGTAATAATATATTAATAGACCATAGCCTAGCCTATCTAAGTAGTGAGTTCTTCATTCATTGTCACTGTAATTAACAATTATTATTGTTGTTGTTTAATTGGGTCGTAGTAAAGGAATTGTAAATTGGTTATTAGGTGTGAATAGTTCTCACTTTAGATTAGGTCAAGAAAAATGGAAAAATGTCATTAGAATAACCCCCTTCAGTGTGACACAAGACCCCTCCGCTTCGCGTCGATGTACATTATCGCTACTGACCAATCAGTATCAAGTATTCCACAGAGCCGTGTAATAATATATTAATAGACCATAGCCTAGCCTATATAAGTAGTGAGTTCTTCATTCATTGTCACTGTAATTAACAATTATTATTGTTGTTGTTTAATTGGGTCGTAGTAAAGGAATTGTAAATTGGTTATTAGGTGTGAATAGTTCTCACTTTAGATTAGGTCAAGAAAAATGGAAAAATGTCATTAATTAAGTGCTTTAAACCAGTGCTTGAAGTGGGCCGGTAAGCACTTTTAGTTTTTAGCGTACTGGCATTTTTTCGTGCATACTGGCACTTCTGACATGTTGCCGGTGTTTAGATTTTGCTACCTCCCATTAAAACAGATGGTAGCATAATTCGATAACGAAAAGTGCTACCTATCAGATTTTGCTTCCAGCATGATATTAATAAGGTGTGAGGCTTTATTAACATTTACACCTACCCCAACTCTAAACCTACCCTTACAGTAGGATAAATACAGTGTTGGTAGCATAATCTGATAGGTAGCATTATTTGTCAGAACACCTGTACTCAGAGTCAAAGCATCAGTGTCTAGGTGATTAGAAATTGCATTATTAAGCACACTACCCAGGAGGTCATTTGAAACCGGTAAACTTCTGGAAAGTTCAAGGATCCAGTAAGGGAATCCATTAGTAATAAGTAATAAGTTCAAAACAGCGCTAATGCAGAGAAAACAGGCTGATTTCATCAGAGATGGCAGAGAGATTAGTGACTCGAGTCCAGATGGCAGTAAATTATACTTTTCTTCGTGTATTTGGCTTAAAAGCACAAGTGTTTTATAATGAATGCTGGCTGAAGGTGCCAGGTGGTTTAGATAATGCGATGGTCAGTGGTTTAGTTATTCTGAATGGATCCGTGTAGTAGCATGTAGTCAGGTTAAGGCAGCAGGTTTAGTGGTCTTTTGGCGTCTCCCTGTGGTTCTGTTTGGTATTGCAGCTTAACTGGTGCTTATTTTTATTAAAAAATGCTCTAAATAATTTTCTTTCTTTCGTTCTTTCAGCATTATATACATACATTGAGAAATATGAAAATGTATTTATTTATTTGGGGGGGTGGGGGGTACCGGCACTTCTTTTTTCCACTTCAAGCACTGCTTTAAACCAACCTTTACTGAGCATTAATTGCATTCATATTCAGTGTTCCTTAAAATGTTTACAAATACATTAAGGACACACACACACACACACACATATTTGCATATGTGGTTTACCTGGACTCTCCATATAGGCATAATGGTTTTTATACTGTACAAACTGCGTATTCTATCCCCTAAACCTACCCATCACAGAAAATTATGGTTAGTGTAAGGGGATAGAATATACATTTTGTGGAATTTTAAAGAACACTTAATACTAATGCAATTAATGTAAATGTTGTAAAATTGCGAAGTAAAGGGTTGTTTAAAGCACTTAATTAATGACATTTTCATATTTTCTGTGACCTAATCTAAAGTGAGAACTATTTATTGTTAAGTTGTTAACAAAAAATTATCTAACACTTTACATATGAGCTAATTAAGGCATAATAATTTGTTAATTAGTGACAATGAATGAAGAACTCACTATTTGTATAGAGTCTATTAAAGTATTGAGTACAGTTTAGAAAACTATGAGTTAACAATGACTAACAGTTTGCAAATTATTTGTAAGTACTTGTATACTGTGTATACTGTGTAAAGTGTTACCTAGTTATAGTTATAGACAGTTTGGTATATTTATATATTCCAACAGAGCTATTAATACATTTTAATACAGCACCACAGCACCAGAAAACCTATAGTGTAACTGCTGCCATGGAAACAACAGTTCCAGAAGAGTTCAGTGAAACTCCAGAAGCAAGTGCATGTCTTGTATCTATGGCAACAAAAGTTTCAGAGGCAGCTGCAGTCTATATGCAAGAATGTGTCAAACTAAGCCTGGAAGCAATGTAAAAGTGTTTACATTTTTTTCTGTCTTGCTTTGCACTTTGTGCTGACACTTCATGCATTAAGGCGGTCATTCCGCATATTCATGAATGCTGAAGAGCGTTCCTATTAGAACAATCTTTTCTTTAAAAATCTTTTCGCTATGGGCTTTGGCACTCTATGCATTAATGAATCCACTTGTGACTGACAGAGACATGGAATGTAGTTGATATGATCATTATCGGTGCCTGACTGGGATATGATAGTCCCCCACTTCTCCTCTTCAAACTTGCCATATTCACAGCAGTCATAAACAGTTTCCACATGAGTGAAAGCAGCCCCAACAACAGGATAGCACCAGTAATAGAGAGACCACCATGATATCAGGACCCTTAGGACAAAAAATAGCCCAGGAATGACAGGTTGGGATGTATATAGCAGTTCATAAGAGGGTCGTGTAAGAGAATGAGGAGTTATGAGCAGAGTATCCCTGAATAATATCTGACAACTTCATGCAACATAACCTGCTTCTCCCTCACTGACTTCCTTCCTCTCGCCTGGTTCTTTTTATAGTGTAGGGAAAGGATTATCACTAAAATCATTTAGGGCATCTTTATTTCCTCTTTATTATAAAGATAATTTGTTTAGCATTATGTAAGTGACTTTTTATGTTCTAAAATGTGTCTGTTTTTTTCAACTTTCTCAAATGCATGAAACTTTGATAGCCTAAGTAATGGCCTGTAGGATTATTGCATCAAAAATAAATAAATGAATAAATAAATAAAGACTTGCTTATCAGTGAATCCTTTTCAGTGAATGGGTTCTGTCAGAATAAGAGTTCAAACAGCTGATAAAAACATCACGAGTAATCCATACAACTCCAGTCCATCAATTAATGTCTTGTGAAGTGAAAAGCTGCATGTTTATAATAAAGAAATCCATCATTAAGGAACTTAATTTTAAACCATTGCTTCTGACCAAAGTTCGAGTCCATAATACATAATAACACTTCCTCCAGTGAAAATGTCCATCTACTGTTGTCCTCTCACATCAAAATCCACTTACATTTTTGTTTAGAACTGTTCTGGACTCGTTTTCTTTTGTAAACGGTGCTTGATATTTCTTTCCTGATTCAGACGAGACGACTTTTTCACTGGAGAAAGCAATATTTGAGAGGACTCATATTTTATTTGTTGGGGTATATATATGCCTCACAAGATGTTAAATGATGGACTGTAGTGGTGTGCATTACTTGTGGATTATTGTGATGCTTTTATCAGCTAGTGATGTAATGCTAATTTTGTCCAAATCTGTTCTGATGAAGAAACAAACTCATCTACATCTTGGACGGCCTGAGGGTGAGTAAATTTTCAGCAGATTTCAATTTTTGGGTGAACTGTTACTTTAATAAATGAATAAAACCTTAAAAAGGAGTGAAAAGAATAGTTATTATTATTAATGTAAAAAAAAAGTTTAAAATAGGCTGACCAATTTAGACTTGCAATTAGCACCACATTTAAACATCATAATAATACCTGAAATTCATTTGAAGAACAAAGTCATAGTTCCCCAAAATGTTTAGACATGAGAAAACTCTCACAGATGAACAGCTGATTGTAGGAACAGTTGTGGTTTCTTGAAGAAACCAGGCTCCCTGTAATTAGGAGCTGCTGATTTGAGTTGCACAAGATGCAATTTGTGTCTTAGTTTTGAAGTGCTTTTTCTCACCACCTGTGAGTCACAGATGAAGCGTGTGCTATTGTTGCCTCATGCACGGTTACTCCCATCTTGAGGATCTAGACAGAGGATCTTAACTCCTCTGGTGCAGTCATAGTATGTTAACACA